TGTATAGCAAATATGTCCGACTCAATACAAATCTACATGTATAGCAAATATGTCCGACTAATACAAATCTACATTTATAGCAAATATGTCCGACTAATACAAATCTACATGTATAGCAAATATGTCCGACTCAATACAAATCTACATGTATAGCAAATATGTCCGACTCAATACAAATCTACATTTATAGCAAATATGTCCGACTAATACAAATCTACATGTATAGCAAATATGTCCGACTAATACAAATCTACATGTATAGCAAATATGTCCGACTAATACAAATCTACATGTATAGCAAATATGTCCGACTAATACAAATCTACATGTATAGCAAATATGTCCGACTCAATACAAATCTACATGTATAGCAAATATGTCCGACTAATACAAATCTACATTTATAGCAAATATGTCCGACTAATACAAATCTACATGTATAGCAAATATGTCCGACTAATACAAATCTACATGTATAGCGAATATGTCCGACTAATACAAATCTACATGTATAGCAAATATGTCCGACTCAATACAAATCTACATGTATAGCAAATATGTCCGACTAATACAAATCTACATTTATAGCAAATATGTCAGACTCAATACAAATCTACATGTATAGCAACAATGTCAGGCTCAATACAAATCTACATGTATAGTAAATATGTCAGACTCAATACAAATCTACATGTATAGTAAATATGTCAGACTCAATACAAATTTACATGTATAGCAAATATGTCCGACTCAATACAAATCTACATGTATAGCAAATATGTCAGACTCAATACAAATCTACATGTATAGTATAAATGTCAGACTCCATACAAATCTACATGTATAGTAAATATGTCAGACTCCATACAAATCTACATGTATAGCAACAATGTCAGACTCAATACAGATCTACATATATAGTAAATATGTCAGACTCAAAACAAATCTACATGTATAGTAAATATGTCAGACTCAATACAAATCTACATGTATAGCAAATATGTTGGACTCAATACAAATCTACATTTATAGTAAATTTATCAGACTCAATAGCTGCAGGAGTAGTAACAGGGAATGTCTCATCTTCTTTTGATTGGTGTGGTTGTGGAACTCGGACAAATTGTTATCACAAAAGTTCACTGTAGCCTTCGGCTCAGGTTAGATAAAAAAAGGAGGTCAAGTTTACAGAAAGGATTTAATACAACAACATAGCTCCCGCTAATATATATCAGGATATTAAGTTTGATTAGAATAATCTTGAATGGTTTCCTTAAAACCAGGCTAACCACTAATTTTATAAAAGAAGGGTCTATGTCAAGGGAAAAGTAAAGCTTGGTGGAAATCTACACTTAGCATCATACAAAGTATTTACAAATCATTCAAAGAAATTAAAGAGAGAGTGTGTGTGTGTTTACACCCACCAATATGAATTTGGCTTTATCCTGTCCTTATCCTGTAGTGTGTCTTCTAGCTTATCAACATCTCCCTGAGCTTTAAGAGGATTGATTGAGTACTGTTTAACGTCCCTCTCCAGAATATTTCACTGATATGGAGACGTCACCATTGCCGGTGAAGGGCTGCAAATTTACGCCTATGCTCGGCACTCTGGGCCTTTGAGCAGGGAGGGATCTTTATCGTGCCACACCTGCTGTGACACGGGGCCTCGGTTTATACGGTCTCATCCGAAGGACCGCCCCATTTAGTCGCCTTTTACGACAAGCAGGGGGGTACTGAGAACCAATTCTAACCCGGATCCCCACGGGGCTAGCTTTAAGAGGAAAGCACACGTCTCATTCTGTGTCATTCTCAACGGATACTGGGAGTCATGAAAGGCCATCGATCTTTGAAATAGTTGCCTGTAACTAGAACTGTCCAAACGGCACAAAATATGCCCCGCTGGGTTTTTTCAGAAGTAAGTTTTTCCATAAGAAAGATATGTATCAAACATGAATTATGAAATTTTTCTTCCAGTGGTCTTAAAGTTCCCCAAATGACCTTGGATCAAGATCATGACAAACCCTTGGGTCAGTGGCTATCTTTGTGTAAAATGAGATCCTACTAAGTTTATCCTTAAGAAAGATATGGGCCAGACATGAATTATGAATATTTCCTTCCATTGACCTTGAAGTACCCCAAATGACATTGGGTCAAGGTCATGACAAATCCTTGGGTCATGGGCAATCTTTAAGTGAAATGAGAACCTACCAAGTTTATCCACAATAAAGATATGGATCGGACACGAATCATGAAATTTTTCTTCCAGTGACCTTGAACTTCCCAAAATGACCTTAGGTCAAGGTCATGACACACCCTTGGGTCATGGGCAATCTTTGTGTGAAATGAGAACCTACCAAGTTAATCCATAAGAAAGATATGGACCTGACACGAATTATGAAATTTTTCTACCAGTGACCTTGAAGTTCCTTGGATGACCTTGCATCAAGGTCATGACACACCCTTGGGTCATGGGCAGTCTTTGTGTGGAGTAGTGGATTCTAATGTCCCTCGGTAAGATATGTACCGGACACGATTGCACAGACAGACAGACGGACAAGGTGATTCCTAGATACTTCCCCCAAACTTCGTTTGCGGGGGGTATAACAACTGTGTGTTCAAATGCATCTATATTTTCAGTACCTCAACTCTAAGCAGTTCAAAATTAATGGTTTGTATTAATTTTGATTACAGATGTATGGACAGACAGACACCAGGTGACCAGAAAAGTTCGCCTAAGCTTACAGCTAGGAGCTTTAAAGTGTTTTAGTGGAAGATAACCAGTGCAATTTTGAATTTCTTTACCTTTACTGTGGTGAGAGAGCTTGAATTCAAAGAAGCGTCTCCTCTCCATTGAGCGACTTGTAAGTTGCTTATAGCTACAACTGTATCTGTTAATGGCGTCTAATTTGCGGCTGTCTTCCCCAACAATTTACACAATCTTGTTGGTCAAAATGGCGGACGCCCATCTGAATCTGAAATTCGAAATCTGGCTAGGATGATGGCAAGCCAATACCCATGTCTACGGGACCGTGCACTAGAAAGTCTAAGAGATAATTTTGTATCACGTAAAAGTCTTTCTTTCACTATAGGATGAAGATGTTCCACAAACAATTTTGTCTCTTGTTAGGCCATCTTCGAGGTCTGCAAAGCCACAGTCTTTCGCAATCATTTTCAATACTGTGATGTACTGGTCAATGCTTTCACTTGGTCCTTGTACTCTAGTGCTGCACCTGTGTCTAGCAACTGTTATATTTGTCTTTGGGATGCAGAAATCTTCAAAGGTTTTGATTAAAACATCCAGATTGTCGACATAATCTGCAGCAAAAGCGAATGTGTTGTAGATTATCTTCCCTCATGTCCTATTACATAAAGAAGAGCTTAACACTTTTCTTTTCCACTTTTGTCACTCAGGGCAACATCCATGTATAGATTCATAGTTTGTTTCCTGCTTTTCCATTTTTCTGCTAAGTTTCTTTCGTGAGAGAAGTACATCTGCGGAGGTTGCTTGAAATGACCTTCTTCCATGGTTAATTTCTCTCCATCGAATAAAAGATGAAACATTCACAATATATATATATTTTTTCACGAGTTCACAGTCACTTCTGACACCATGTTATTTTCCTTTTAATACATAAGGAAGTCTGTAAGTCTTTCTTTATAATCTTTAACTAACTAAACACATATCTAAGATATAACAGAGTACAAGCGACTACTGAACATTGTGTTGCAGATTGTTATAGCAAAGTTTATATTGATTTTTCCAGTAAAAAGTGGGGGCCATATGATGTAGATGGTTTTGCAGATTGTAACAATTTCAATCTGGGCTGGGATGTTCAGTGGAAGTCAAATCAAAAAACTTACTATAACCATTAACAAATAAAACAGTTACATCAAAATGAAAATTGTTTATGTTTTCAGGTTTTATTGTAAGTTGCAAAAAATATATTAACGCATCAATATAATTTATTTTTTGAGAATCATAGGCAGGATAAATTAGTTATGTAGACACTTGAAGGGGTAATAGGGAAATATGTGGGATCCTTGAAAAAATCCATATTGGGCGAGGCGTAAATATTGGGCGAAGCATAAGCCAAGCCAAATATGGATTTTTTCAAGGACCCCACATATATCCGTATTACCCCTCTAAGTGTCTTCATGTATATAACTAATATTCTCAGAACTTGCATGCTAAAATTCTGGTTTCGTCTTCACGAACAATATCATCGAAGGATCCGTTAAATTTCTGAGCAAACAATGCTAATGGAATGTCATCATCTTCTTCGAACTCATCATCACAATCATCAATAACCTCTCCGCTTTTGTCCTCAAAAACCTGCTTTTCGAAAACAGTTTGAAATGCATGACACGCTAACTTCACTCCAGGCCGACTTAAGAAATCTAATTGATATCAACACGTTGATATTAGGTTCAATTTTCTTTTCCTCACACTGAAATTAAATTAATATGTTAGATAATAATCATAATTAATATGTTTATTTATCAATAAAAGAATGAAATGTTATGCTTCGTAGATAAAAACAGGTGCGCGACAATGCCATTTATAGCCTCGGGACTAAAACCGCTACTTACACAAAAATAGACAATAGAAATAAAGGTGTGATCTTACCTGAAGTCTGTATTTTATCAGGCGCTGACGATATTTGATTTTCAAATTGTTGATAATACCCTGGTCCATTGGTTGTAGTATGCTCGGTGTGTTTGGAGGGAGAGAGTTTAGAGTAATGGATATGAGATAAAGGAATCTCGGGTGGGCTGCACAATTGTCAACAAATAAAAGCACCTAACGTTTTTCTCTTAGAAATCTGCGGTCAAGAGTTCGTATCCATTCTTCAAAAATAGAACTAACCATCCACGCTTTTTTGTTGGCTTTGTAGCTTACAGGCAGCGATTTTCTTCCTTAAAACACCTTGGGTTTTCAAATTTTCCGATGATTAGGAGGAGTAATTTTTCTGTCCCGCTCATATTTGCCCCCACCAATAGCGTCAATCTCTCCTTTGATCTTTTCCCCCATGACACTTTTCACCCTTCATTTGCAGAGTTCTATCTGGTAGTAGTTTATAAAATAGTCCAGTTTCATCTGCGTTGAAGATATCTTTAGGATCGTTATCTTGTAAAATCTGCGGCAGCTTATCCTTCCATTCGTCAACGCTTTTATGATCGACGATTGCGCTCTCTCCAGTTATCGCACGACGCACGATTCCATGTCGATTTTTAAAGCGATCCAGCCACCCTGTATTGGATTTGAAACTGTGGTCTCCTAATTTCTTGGCAAGGTCTTCTGATTTTTGTAGAAGTATGGGACCGCTTATTGGAATGTTTTCCTGTCTCTTTTCATAGAACCACTCTAATAATGCCGCATCTACAGTCTCATGCGGAACGGACCGGTGACTTTTTCGTGATAGACTGATTCCTGTAGATTCGTAATTTTTAAGTATCTCTTCTTTGTTTTTCAACATTGTATTAAGAGTATTCGGTAAAATATCAAACCTTGTAGCAAATTCTTTTTTAGTGAGGCACCCCTTTCAACTTCTCTAATAATCTCATATTTAGTCTCTATTGAAATTGCTTTCCGCTTTCTAGACGGCGAAGACATCTTGGTACTGACAATTATCGTAAGCCCGTGAGCACTTTCTTATCTTAACATTGAAGTACAGATTTCAAAGTTTTATGAACGCGTATATTAAACGAAATTTTTAATGAAAAATATTCGTTATACTTATAAGGCTGTCTAAAATTAAAACTATGTTTAACGTCACCCGCGCGCGTAGGTTTATGAGAAATTCGTCTTTGAAAAAAACAAACAATTCGGAATTCCGTATGTCCGTTCCGGTTTGGTTCTACAATTAACGACTAAATTCTGCTTCCCGTAGTGACAGAAAATGTGCTTTGATAGTCGCAGTAAAGACAGTTGGTGTCTTATTAAAGAAAACTAGTGAATTAAAGAGCTTGGGACCATAAATGTAAGTAAAAAATAGATGATTTTATGATTGAAGTTAATAACAAAGTCTAGTTTGTTGATTTTTTGTCAGTCTTTGAATCACATGTACAGACTGACAGACTCTCAGTTCGTGATTATTGGCTGAACTTTTCATTGTATTTTGGAGACAATCGAAAAACTTTTTTACTGAGTGGAGAGTGTGTCAAAAACCAATATTTATATGTAGTGAAAAGCATCATTTAAATCTTATTTAATTTATTTAATATAAAAAAAAAAATCTGTAAAAATCGAAAGGAACAGTAATAAGTAAGATAATTGATTTCTTCATAATTCATGTACCAGAACAAATAGCTACAATTTTTGGAAAAGATGATACTTGTCTTAACCATTTTAGCAGGGAGAAGCTTACAGACGATAGGGCCTTTCAAGTGAAGGAGAGTAAGGAAAGTGGTTTGGGTATTCCAAGAAATGAAGAATCCTGTCCTTTGTGTGGAATTCAAGGTATTAAAGTTAATCTAACAGCTATCAGTATGGTCCAAATATTAGTATTCACACTTTCAAAACTTAATGCTAGTAGATCTAGTACTAAGAAAACATACAACATAATTCAATTTGAGGATAATTCAACATGAACAGTTTTAAATATTGTCATCAATAATTTTAATTGTAGATATTGAGCAACTATTTCCACAATAAGAAGCATTTGCCTCCAGGGTACCATGGACATGTGGCAATATAAACCCAAAGGACAATTGAGGCCTAGTTAAAAGCCACTTTCCTGCACATTCAGTCTTAGACTACATTTTCGCTAATAATAGGACTCAAACTGATTTACATACTAAGGAATAACTCTGCTAGGAAAATTAATCTTAGGTGCCATATCAATTAAATGCTCACATTCCTTAATTGTAATGTTTTTATTGTACTGAATAGGTTAATTTGAATAAATTCACAATTGTTTGAAAATTTTGTTTGTTTATTTTTTTCCTCCCTCCCTCGTAAGTTTGGAACTTTAGATGTGACGTTAAACGTAGAATTAACTTTAAACAGCCTAAAGAAATGTGTTAAAATATTGTCAGCGGGGGTCTTAAAATCACTTCGTTATAGCCGTAAATTCGTTATAGCCGTGTTCGTTATATTCAGCAATTTTTGACGGGTTTATATGTGGACTCTACCGGGACTTGAAAAAAAATTCGCTATAACCGTTAATTCGCTATATCCGTGTTCGCTATAAACGAGTTTTGCTGTATATAACTAATATTCTCAGAACTTTCATGCTTAAATTCTCCATCATGTTGAAACTGCGTCGTAGCTTGGATACGACATGCCCAGACCTGCCTACCCTTTTCCTTGCAGAGGTGTAATTTCAGAAAATTTTTGGCGGAATTCCAGAGATAAAAGCGTAACCAATCGTGTTTTCCTATTTTGTTGTTTTACTATAATACTTTATTTTCTTTCAAAACAACTACAATTGGACAATACTAAACGAAGCTGGCATTAACTTTTCTTTTTCGAATCATCTATTGGCAAAAAAGTGTTGTAAAATACCAGTATCCTATATTAAACTCAAATCAACCACACACCCTTAATGAAGCATTTGGTCGATTTGTATCAGATCACTTTATTAAAGGCTTTGTCTACACAAATCGTACACTGTATAACACTGTGTTCCATCTTTTTAACACTCACATTTCTCTATTTTATTCTAAGCAATGTTGTAAATAAACTAAATTGAGCACAGAAATGGGTGTACTTATCACAATATCTTTTTTAGTAAACGTAAGTAGTGTCTTCTCGTGTTTTTCCAAATCTTCGTTTTACCAGTTTACGAGTACATATAACTACCGATACTAGCTAGGTATATTACGTACGTTTTCGAAATGATACTCTATTAATTACCTTTACCTTTCACTAAAAACTTCTCATTCATTTCAGTGGGTCCTACTTTGACTCTATATTTAAACGTTCACAATGGATTTTAAACCAAAATATCAAAAGCGTAATATTAATATAAGTGGCGTAATGGCATAATTCTGTGGTAAAAAGCGGAAGAATTACGCCAAAAGCGGAAGGGTAGGCAGGTCTGCATGCCAAATCATTTTTAAAACCAAATAATCATAATTTGGGAGATTGCATGTACTAATTTAAATCAATTATCACTTTGAAGTATAAAAAGTAATTGTTCGCTTTAATGAGTATATTATTAAATTTTTTGTCTGATGTTTTAATTTAAAATCAAGTAGTTATCATTTTCACCAGTTTAAGGAATAGCGAGATAAAGCGTTTCAGCAATAGAGGCTTGACGTTTATGATGAAGGCCGCCTAGGTTTTTGAATTTCATGGCCCCAGGGTCAGGTCTTCTGGTGCCTGGTAGTAGATATTTATAGTATCCCTCTTCAACTGTTGCTATGAGAACTAGGGTGATCTTGGTAGTAGATATTGACAGTATCCCTCTTCAACTGTTGCTATGAGAACTAGGGTGATCTTGGTAGTAGATATTTAAAGTATCCCTCTTCAACTGTTGCTATGTGAATTAAGGTGACCTTAATAGTAGATATTTATGGTATCATCCTTCAACTGTTACTATATGTATGTGAGCTAAGGTGACTAATAGCACAAATATTGAGTCAAGAAAGGTGTTTTCCTAGTATCTTCCTTTGAGTGTTGCAATGCAAACTAGGGTGACCCTGAGGTATGTTTGGAAAATCCCAAGTCGTCAGTGACTGTAAACTCCCTCTTGACTGTAGACTCTTTGCATTTAAGTAACCCATGACGTCATTGACTGTAGACTCCACCCTTGACCTCTATGACCTTTATGGGAAAAACCCATGACGTCATCCTGACTATAAAGTGACTGTTCTCTGTATCTCTTACTACTCTTACTACTCTTATTTAACACATCTGCTCTTTTTATACAACGACTTAACTGAGGTACTTGGCACACTGCTTATATTTTAGACTTTAAGTGACAATACACTTATGGACATGTATTCATGTTCAATGGACTCATAACACTTGTACTAGATAAATTCAATAAAAGAAAGGACCTCAGGAATCATATACTGTCAAGTCTTAACCTTGGAAGATATGATTTGCTCCATCCTTGTTAGCCAAAGGTTTCTGATACACTACTCTCCTCATTAGCCCTTGGCATAGAGTGTTAAAAGCAGTTGGGATATTTTTTTTAAAGTTGTGATTGGAGTGAATTAACATTTATTGTTGACCAATCAGCAATTGTTTTTGTAAATGACATATCTGTATTGGGGACTTATTTGATTCTTTACTTTTGGAAATGAAAGCCCAAGTAAACAATGATCACATGCTATTCGTCGCCAGCGTGGCGCAGTGGTTAGAGCGTCTGCTCTAGAGTCGCGAATTAAGGAGTAAATCCTTACGTCGCGGGTTCGAATCCCACTGTGGGACGTGGAGACTGGTTCTTCGGATGAGACCGTATGAACCGAGGCCCCGTGTCGCAGAAGGTGCTGGCACAAAAAGATCCCTCACTGCTCAAAGGCCCTGAGTGGCGAGCGTAGGACAAAATTTGTAGCCCTCCACCGGCAAGTGGTGGCGTCTCCATATGAGTGAAAAATTTTCGAGAGGGACGTTAAACAATGTACAATCAATCAATCACATGCTATTCTATGAATAGATACGTTGTATTCCAAAATATTAAGATATGTACAAAGTTTGTATTAGATCTATATTGAAGATGTACATTTTCACATTAAATAATAAATGATCAATTTATACCTTGTTACTTCAATCTTTTAAAATCATGACATTGTTTGCTTCTTGTTGATGACACAATTTGTGCATACCTCTTCCATATTTGAGATCATGTGACCAAAACAATCCCGTGTTTTCACAGCTCCATACGCTCCAAGGGATAATAAAGAGAGTAGCGTATCAACAACTCTAAACTAGCAAAGATTGACTCGCTTTTTTCTCCATATAGGTGTAAAAATATTTATATTTTTTATGTATATCTAATTTTTGAAACGCAATCCCCCTTCCAGTTGAATATTTGTATAGATCAGTACATTTTAATTGATATGTTCTTTATTTTCAGCGATCCTTACGAATGGAAAAGGCCCTGAAAACTGCCCACTTTACATCTCTGGCGAGGGACAAGGTGCGACCTTTGCTGAAGCCAGAATAGATGGCTTCGGAATAGTCAGACATGGAGGATGGTGAAAGAATCTTCAAGATTCGACGCCTGTCTTGGCAGAAGAAGAAGTTTATGAAGGCCAATGAGGCGCTTGACGAAGAACACGAGAGAATATTGCCAGCCCACCTGAATGGGAATAAGAGAAAGAGAGTGTACCTGGAAATCCCTTCAGAAGAAAACCCCCTCCTAGCTATCCATCATTGGTGATACGAAGTAGCTGGAGAGACAGTGAAGATGAGGAGGAACAGGCCGACTCCAGCTAATTCAATTACTTCCATAAAGGAGCAAAGGGCAGTGTGGTGTTAACAATATCTTGGACTTGAATTTGGGTATGTCTTCAGGACTAGATT